AACTGTATTCATCTTTATAAATTAAAATGGCTAATGTGCAGAAATTTGTCGAAGGCATAAAAAATGACTAAACAAAGTAACACACACACACACACACTAACAAACGACATATATATCTCAAAGCAGCAGACTTCAGGAAAAGCTGACAAGAACGTCTCAAATTAGATTAAAACTTTACGGGCATAGTTGAAAACAAACCACTAGGTATATAAAAAAAGAAAGAATTTTCAAGGAATTGTTGTTGGTTTGATTAAATTCGACAACCTTCGAGATGATATCTCCTGAAAACAGATAAGATTCGCAGCAGGTTGTGGTCAGTCAAATTAAAGATATCATCTTGTCTATATAAATCTGCGTTAAACCACTCCTTTTCTCGAAAGAGATGGGGTGATATACAATTTAGTTAGATCTACGTTCGGCTGGTTAGAAATAGAATCAGGCTATTCGTTAGGTTCAGAGAAAGCCATTACAAATAAGATTTGCCACTGGTATAGTGGAAAGCAGGTTATGTAACATAAAAAATATATTTTTAACCAATTCTCTTTAAAGTTATAGAAAACAAAGGATTTATCATTTGATATTTTAATCTGGATGCTAAATTCCTTCATCTTTAAGGAGGAGTAGATAATCCTTTCTCTTTTGCCTTTTTCAAGGGATTTTACTCAGTCATTATCGGCCTCCCTAAAATAATAGTAGATCCTTCATAAATCCCTTTAAACGAAAACTGTACTGCTAAGCTTCTTTGAGAATGCTAAACCAAAAATGGCAACCATTAAAAAAGGTAATTCTTTTCTTAAGCTTACTACAGTGGATAATAGCCTTTAAAAGCCTTTATGACTAATTTTTCCTTATTAAAATTAAAGTGCAAGTGCGCCCTGAATTTAAAAAAAATGGTTGAGAAACACTGTTCTAAAACATTATTATCCAGCCATCAAAATGATAATACTGACATTTCATAAACGGAACACAGCACGGGAAGTATAACAGAATTCTTACTTGTTATTTTCCATTAAATTTACAATTAAAATTCCGTTAATTTCGACGCATTCAAAAAATGCTCGGCGTTAAAGGATCTACTTTTGGATCTACACTCCTTAACAAAAAGAAAAAAAAAAAAATACTTTGGTTAAAGAAAAACCAAACTTTAAAAGCTCTGATGATAATAAACTGCGCTTTATTTTTTTTTAATGTCATGTCCCTTCAGGACAGAGGCAAACATGGTTCTAGAAAAGTCCGTTTTCTTTTTATCTCTGAATTGCTGTAGCTTTTGGGGAAATATAGTGGAATGTTTTCCCGTGGCCTTCTCTACGGTTTTTGAATACAGATTTTTTTTCTAATAGTCTCGTTGGCACTCAAAGCTAGAGTATATCCTGCTATTTAACCCATATCTGGGAGAGGAGAGATGGATCCATGCCTTTCCCAAAGACATATGTGCGAAGTTGCAACGCAATGGGCAAACCTCTTCCTCCAAAAACGTGACTTTTTCAAATTTATCAGTTTTTGATTAAACAAAACTTTCTTGTCCCTCTGTGATCTTATTCTTATAAACAAAATTCATTCTGAAAAGTTCTCGGCTCGACCAAATAGAATGACCCACTCCCATGAAATATGCATGTTGTTCCACATACTCACTCTGGAGTTCACCGCAAGTGGCACGTCCTTTCTAAGTTGCTTTAGCCCTTAAAAAAAAAAAAAAAGAGAAAAATAATTGAAATACTAATTTTGAGAATTTGGTTGAGCTGAGCTTTTCCTGCACCCACTCGAACTTCTTGAACCTATATATATATATATATATATATATATATATATATATATATATATATATATAACTATACTTACTAACAAACAGAATTTTTTTTCTTCTGATGCTGGCCGAAATATATATAATCGATTTATTTTTAATTCACTTTATTATTTGAAGTATTTTTTTACGAAGGGTGACGCAAATTCAATCCCTGTCGGAGAGCGCATTTTATTAAGAATTCTCGAGTGCGCAGGCCACTAGATGTAATACACACTGTTTAAAATGAAAAACAGGGCGTCTATTTAAAACAGGAGTATCCACTAAAAATAACGTTTGAAGTAATAAAACTGTTGGATTAAAAATAAATCTATTAATTCTTCATTAATTGCTTTGTTTCGTTTCGGATACAAAACCGAGCAAACATGGGCTTTTGAGAATAACTGAACGAAAAGGTGTGCATTAAAAGGGTGAAAAGAACCTGGCTGGGTTGAGACGCTCTTTGTGACCAAACGGTGTAAAACATGCCGAATTAAATTGTGGTTCTCCTAAAATTGGGGCTCAGGTTCAAACCCTATCAGACAGCACATTTTCTTTATTAAGGTTTTTCGAGCGCGCAGGCCGATACAGTTAATACATCCTGCTTAAAATAATAAAAAAGGGGGGCATCTATTTCAAACCTGGGTATCCACCAAAAATAATATTTGAATATGTATAAGTGGACACTGATGTCAACTCCATCTGGCGGCAGTCTTAGGCTTGAACGTAATCTACAGATGACCTGAAAATTGTGTTCGAGCAGGAAACAGACTGTCGTCACTCGGTGCTGAACTCGGTGTCCACTCTTATATTTACACACGCTCTATCGCAGACATTTTACCCATTAATATAGTACCTCAAAACTATATTTCGTTTTGTATATATATTATAAATTTACTTATTTAAAAATATGGTTTCATCGCTACACAGGAATTACCGTGTTTCAGAAAACAGAAGCTAAAAACTTCAAATTCAATTATAGAATTAAATGAAAGTCTCTAGTTCTGTTTCATTTTCAAGCGAAATTTGGTTCCAAAATTCGCTTAAAAATAAAATTTGTCACTTAGCTGATTGAGTGATTCTGCACCTTGACTCTAGATTTTCATAGATGAACATTTTGTAATTGTTGAGTTCACTCTTCAGGAGGTTTTAGATAAATACATAGCGAGAGACATATGCACTTGTCCTATCGGCGCACGAGCACATATATACCTGCTTTGAAGAGCGTAGCGTCAAACGGCTCGAGACATTCATGTTCCTCTGCTACAAGAGCGACATCTGCTTAGAACTGTTTTCCTTGATAAGCGCCGTTTGAGTGGCGCTAACAAATGAAAATCTGAAGGAGCCAAAATTGATTCCATGACTTTGAAATATCAATCATCATCAACTTCACAAAATGATTGCAATTGTATTCTTGTATGCAAACGGTGTATTGCGCGTGTATGTTTTGTTGTATGGTAAAGCATTTAATGCAACAATATATAGCGGAACACTAGAAAAATGAAGGAAGCCTTCTTTCAAAAGAAACCAGAACGTGTGTATAAGAGTGTTACCCTGCTTCACGACAACGCTCCCTTTTGCATAGTCAAACTGAAAATATAGTAGCTCCAGAGGTATGGTTAAGATGTTTTACTGCATCCACCGTATTCTTCTAACTTGTTTTTTTTTCAAATTACATATTACATGTCTTGAGATTTTTATGAGTTATTAAATTTTATTTGAAATCGCTTGTTGAAAAGTTGCTGTATAGAATGTATATATCAAATTCTGTTCCCCGTTAGTCCGTCCGTCCATCTAAAATAGATATACATTGACCAATCGACAGCAAAGTGCAAACAAGTAAGGGGGTACAAAGTACAGTATTAATTTATTTTAATATAACTTTACGCAAGCTTCCTAAACTAGCTGAAATCAGTTGTTTTCAAGCGAAAATAACTCGATTTTGACTACATTTTAGGTGTTTTCGTAACTTTGCAAACACCTATTCTTTTTAACAAAACTCCAGTTTCCAGTTCGCTCTGCTTTTGCCAGAAGTATAAACAAATCATAAAGCCTAACGCTTCAAAAAGTTGGAATTTGGCTCCAGAAAGAAATATTTACGCATGACCAGTTGTATGTTGCATGCTCAAGAGTAAGAAATCCTAAGAATTTATTTTTCGCTGTTAAAAAAGAAAAAAAATTATTAAAAATATTGTTTACCATGCAGTCCTATAAAATTAGATTAAAGAAATTATTACGCCTCGAAGTAGGGTTTTTCTTAAATTATTTTTCCAGACAAATCAGCTTATTCAAATTTCATCGATTGTTTGCGAAATTGAACGAAACGTAGAGTTTGTAAATCTCGAGAATAATGTTAACGATAACTTCAACAATATTAAATACTGTGAAGGTTTCAACACGTCTTTCAAAAAATTCTAGTATCTTAAAATGTCATATTTTACTCGGACAATGTATTACTTAGTCTGAGCCGAGAACAATTCAGAAGAGAAAAAGGTTCTAGTAAAACATAGGTGGTATACGTGGTTGCGCATTGATATGCTGAACATATTCCTACTTTAGATTATATCTTAATTAAAAGATATCACGTATAGATTATTCGAATAATGCTAGTTTGGAGAATTAATTAAAAAGTGCCCTTGAAAAATCCGCATAAATTGTACGGACCTTGGTACATAAAACTATTATATTTTTTTTCTGAAGAACATAAGAGAAATTGCGTATACAACTAACAATCGAAATATAGAAGCATATTACATTTCAAACATATTTACCAAACGGTCTTTACATCATATTAAAGTTGAACTCTCTAAAATATAGATGGCGCACTACAATTGTTCAACTGAAACAAATGATTTTACTTACGTTTTATTACTGCTTATCAAATGAAAAAAAAAGATTCATTTAAATATTGAATGAAGTAAGAATTAAACAAATGGTAGCCAATGGAAGCATAAAAGAATGAAATTTAGAAATAAAAAAGAAGCGGTTTTCAAAAGACTCACCTTGCTTAAAATCCAAGAGCAGACGATTTAAGTACGGTGTGTCCACAGAAGCTGATGTCTTGTGGAGAGTGTTTGATTTGTTTACGTGCCGTCGATTAGGTTGAGTGTATCGTTGGTTACCTGACAGGTGAGCTGTGGATGGTTTTCATAAATCACTTGGTCAGCACAATGAAAAAAAAAGAGTTACAGGGGAAGGAAGGGGGAGAAAATGAAAGAAATCAAGGCGGCAGGTAAGAAACAAAAAGTACAGTGCAAAGGAAGGAGGATAAAAAGGAAGAAAAGAATAAAAAGGAATAGAAAGAAAGAAAGAAGAAGAAAAAGAAGGGAAAAAGAAAAAATAAGATTGAGATAGAACAATGACTTGTGAAAGAGAGAGTGGAAAAGTGAAAAGAAAATGAATAATAAGAGTTGTGTGAGAAGGAGACAGAAGAAGAAAGAAAGAAATAAGATAACGTCAAGGGAAAAGAAGAAAGAAGAAAGTGAAGAGGGGAAAAGAAGTAAAAGAGAAAAAGAAAAAGAGAATTAATAAACACAAGAAAAATAAAAATAATGAAAAAACGAAATAAAATGGCTAAAAAGAAGAAAGATATGACGCAGAAAATATTCAATGAAAACGAGAAAAAATGAGATATAAGAAAAAAATGAAAGAGACTTAAAGAAATAGAACCTTGATAATGGAAGGAATACAAATTTTAGAGAGTAGAGAAAACAATTGATCTTCTGAGAGAGAGAGAAAATATATCTTCTGAGAGAGACGTGTATATGCCTGTTATATTGTAAAAAACAAATAGCTCGATTGGATTTCAATAAAGAATACCTTCATCAGAATCAGCCTCAAATTACAATTGAGCGTTAAGAAAAAGAAAAGAAAGTATGCAAAAAAAAAAAAAAAAAAAAAAATAGGATAGAAAGCAACAAATACAAAAGAGAATAACTTTAAAAAAATATGAGAATTAACTACAAGAGAGCAAAAGTGAGAGAAAGAAAAGAGAAAAAAAGAGAGAAAAAGAAAAGAGAAAAGAAAAGAGAAAAAGAAAAGAGAAAGAAAAAGAGAGAAAGAAAAAGAGAAGAAAAGAGAGAAAGAAAAAGAGAAAAGAAAAAGAGAGAAAGAAAAAAAGAGAGAAAGAAAAGAGAAAGAAAAGAAAGAGAAAGAAAGAGAAAGAAAAAGAGAAAGAAAAAGAGAGAAAGAAAAGAGAGAAAGAAAAGAGAGAAAGAAAAGAGAGAAAGAAAAGAGAAAAAGAAAAGAGAGAAAGAAAAGAGAGAAAGAAAAAGAAAAGAAAAAGAGAAAAGAAAAGAGAAAGAAAAAAAGAAAAAAGAAAAAGAGAGAAAGAAAAAGAAAGAAAACAGAAAATAAAATAGTGATTGGAAATTCAAAATAAAAGGAAAGGTAGAAAACGAATGGGGACTGCATATGCACGATAATAAACAGATTTTAGGGCAAGAGTTTGGTTGAAATTAAAAGAATGTTTCTAAAAGGAGAAATCCAAAGAAGAATTAAACTAGAGAAAAAGGAAAACAAAAAATAAATTTAAGATAAAAAAGAACGAAAGAAATAATTAATGGCCTGACAAAATGATGAAAAAAAAAAGTTAAGAGCGGGAAGATTTAAATGAAGAAAAAAAAAACGAATTACTAATATAAAATGGATTGAATTACTTACGACATGTGATATATCGATATACAATATAACAATTTTACTGCTGTTTATTTTTAATTAAAGCTCGTTCACCAAGAGTTGTGGTCGTCGCATAGACCAATTTGAATGATGGCTGAATCGACCATTTGTTGACATTTATTGATTGTTTATGATAACATCAAAAAAGAAAAATGGCAAAGATTAATAAAGACGCTTTTTTTTTCTTGGCTGTTACGTCTTGGCATAATTTTAGAATCTACACCTGATTAAAGAAGTTCCTATACTGTAGCAGATCAAAAGCTCATGTATATCCCGAAAGCAAATGCTTTTTTCTCTGGCAAATCTTTTCTTCACAGAAAACAGAAAAATGGGGTCTTCTGTAGTGACCATGTCTTTCGAAGTCAAATAATAAATTCCTTCAAAGTGTTGTTCAGACGATTTTTCTAAATGGTTTCGGCCAATACATTTTTTTTCTTTCTTCAGGTGTACAAGAAAGAGAGGAATCATTTTTTCCTCCCATAAAAATAGTGGTGAGCAGAACAATGATGCCATATATATCTACCTTCTCGGCATACTTACCTGGCTCCGTCCCTGTGCTGGTGGTATCACGGCTACAACTAGCTTAGACCAGCTCTGACCAGCTTGGACAAGCTATGACCAGCTAAGACCAGCGGTCCGAGTAAAAACACTCGGGTCCCCACGTTAAAAACTGACCTTGTGTCACAACCTGACTCAGTGGGGGTTCAAGTAAATATCTATATCTACCTTCTCGGCTATTCCCGGTAACACGAGCTACACAGTCGATATAATCCACAATAAAATATTTCTTTTATCTTAGCTAGTTCTTTTTCAATTGAAAAGAGACTCCTTTCTTTCCTTACGGATTGTAATGTGATAAACACAGAAGCAGCAAAAAAAGAAAAAAAAAAGGTAAGTTCATTAGTACGAACAACTGTTGAAATGATGATTCTTCTCAAAATTAGACACAAATTCACTTTTGATCAAATTCGGAAACCACGAGCTACTGACAACCATAATTTAGTAGAAAAGGACAAAAATTATTTTCTAAAATATGAGAATATACCATTCTTAAACAAAGTTCTTGGATTCTTCGCATGAGTCACTTTCAGGCTTTAAATACAGACATTAATCAAGTTGCTCGGTTATCGCGTCAGTAGACATCTTTTTCAGTTTCTCAGCAACGTAGGCAATCTTTCTTTAATCTCTTAACCATTAAGTTCGCTTAAGAGCATCAATGACACAGCAGGCTTACAAGCTTCCCTCCGCAAGTAACTACTACACCGTATCACGTATTGTAATTCATAACCAGCAATTTAACTAAGAATATCATTCTTCCTGAAGAACCTTTGATGCATTAATATTATTTTTGACAGGTAACGACTTGGTCAAATTACCACATAAATAAATACTTGGTCTTCTTAATCCTAGAATTTGTTTTAACATTTTTTATTTCTTCATAAGTTCCTGTATACTTGTTGAACGTAATTAAGTTCACACAACTTTTGCTCTTATTTAGTATTTATTTCTCAAGTTAGCCTGATGATACTTTAGAATGATACATCTATATACGGTAGTGATAAGCAACCAGCCATGCGCGCTCACACACAGTCGTAGCTCTAAGTATTTGTAAGCATGATACCTATAGACATATACAGAGCTCTACTCACCAACTTCTAAAGAACAGCAGGAACCTTAACAGGCAAGTTACAGCATACAATAGAATGTATTCAAATTGTGCTTATTGTAAAGGTCTGTTCGAATTGTTCAAACCCCATGCAGTTAGTTGCTAGACGAAAGGCATACAACAGCCATTCATTAGAATTACGTTCAAAAGCTTGACCATAGATCTTCTTTATGGCTCTCCACAATTTACTTTCATTTATAGCTCTTAATAGATTTTGTTTTTTTTGTTATTTCTCCTAAACCCTGTTCCGCCATTCATTTACACAAGCTCACTAAGTATTTTATGCGTTGTTTTCTTTTGTCCCTCTTTGCCCCAGTCTGTCTCGTGAGTGTCAGACTTTCCAAGCCCTCCTTCCTCATTACGCGCCCCAGAAATTTCATGTGTCTCTTCCTGATGTTAAGTATAAGTTTCCTTTTTATTTCTATTTTCTCTAAAACTTCGTTGTTGCGCACATGTTCGTTCCATGGTATCCTCAGTATCCTTCTGTAGAAGCACATTTCTGTTGCTCATCTTTGAGGAGATTGTCCAGAATTCATTGCCATATAGAAGGACAGATATCACGTAACAGTTCAGTACTCTTTTGTTTCTAACGTAGTTTTTCTTTCTCTTAATACTCTGCTTAGCTTTTGGAATGCATCTTTGAAAATTTCAATGCGTCTTCAGATCTCAATGTCTCAGAACATTTTTGTTTTAACATATTTTCCTTTATGACCAAACAACGAATATTTAATGCAGAAAACGGGGTACTTACAAATGTTTAAAAATGATTAAAATTTGCTTAAACAGATGCTTGGGGTATTTACAGAAGTAGGTTAAATATTCCTTTAGAAACATTTCTCTCTATTCTCCTTGTATAAGACGCTTAGAAATGCGTTCTTTCTATCGTACAATCAAATACAAAATGGTTTCGTAAAGTTCTCGCGTTCTATGTTCTGTGATTGTAACGTTAACGGAAATGCGCATGCAACTCCTCTCTCTCTGGTGTAGTGAGAGAAAAATAAATAAATAAAAATAAACGAATAACAACAACGAGATCAAAATTTCACCATCTCTAAAAATAGATGTTGTATCCTTAAAGAAGGTTACAAACGGACAAAAGTAGTACTCGAGTGAAAGGAACAGCAACACAGGCGTAGATAAAAGAAAGAGAAGTTTATTGTAAAAGAGAATACACTACTGAAAGACAGGGAATCGGATGGCAGGCTAGTAATTCCCGAAGGAAAAATATCTAGCAACTGCCTCACGCGGTCAGATGTGGCACAAGGCCGAATTTAATGTGGGGATATCCGAGCGCATAAACTCAGCCAAAAAACCCCGTATAAAACAGAGTCGAGTAGTTGTTTACCGAGAAGAGACTTTGCACTTCGACATGGCCTCGTCTGAGTTCCTCAAGCAGCACAGTTGGAGACGAATCTCCAACTAATTGCCGAAACAAAAATATTTACCTGACCTTCCCGCGAGGCAGGATGTGACACAAGGCCGTTTTTTAATGCTGGGAAAACCGAGCCGGTAAAAATTCCCCGTATACATGGGGTCGGGTAGTTGTCTACCACCCCAGATAAGACACTACCCTTCGGTATAGCTTCGTCTGGGTTCTTCTCTGCCCGAATGCAGAGAGGAAACCCAGCTGGCACAGCTGGAGACGAATTTCTAATTAGACGAAGCAAGCCCCATGTATATCCTGTACTCACTATATATATATATATATATATATATATATATATATATATATATATATATAGTCAGTCCACATAGGCGATAGGGATTGTGGGACATTCCATTACAACAATAGATGTATATTCAGAATCGTTAGGCCATACAGTCATATTTCGACCAACCTATCAGAAGCTGTTTCGACCAGGATACAAACATCCTGGTCTAGCGAGCGGATCAGAAACAAGAACTGCAAAAAGGATAGGCCACTAATCGTGAGCTAGTGAGAATCAAAGCGAACTTTCTAAATATGTATATAAGAAGATGGAAAATCAGCCTAAATAAGAATACATGAATCAATTTTATCCATTCTCCAATGCTACAGTCATCGTAACATACTCAGAGACGAGATACGGTATTTTGTGCGACTCGCTGGCGACTTTAGACGACTAAAATGTCCTGATACATTTGAAGGAATATACCCTTTCTTTCACCAGCTTTTAAGCAGTCGGCTGCTACATTTGAAAAAGAAAATACATGCAGAGAGGAACCCAGACGAGGCTATGCCGAAGGGCAGAGTCTGGTCTGCGGTGGTAGACAGCTACCCGACCCCGTGTATACGGAGAATTTTTGCCCGAGCCTACGGGCTCGGTTTTGACCCCGCATTAAAAGTGGCCTTGTGCCACATCCTGCCGCGTGGATAACCTTTTTCATTCAATTTCAGCTACCTCTATACCCCCGACCAATTTTTTCCCCTCTCTCTCTTTAATTCCATTTCAGTGGCCACTACATTCGCCCAGCTCTCTTTTCCATTTCTCACGTTCAGTGGTCTCCCTACTCGAGACACCTATCGAAGGGTTACATGCAACCCTTGCCGCAAAAGACGAGGCCGTTTTGGCAGCTTGATGTTAGATTTCTCGTTCCTCCCGCAGGAACCGGTGGAGAAATCTCTCTCAACAAAAACAATTACTACACTCAAGAACATTGCTAACTGGGAAAATCCCCCCCTGTCGCAAATTACTAGTATTTTGCACTTCTATTTCAATCAAATAAAAGCTGTTGAACAGTTATTTTCAAGCTTTGGGTTTTTGTTCGTTCCACTCACGCCGTCGAGAACAACACATGCAATCGGGGAACATCCCAACATAATATTATACTCTTTCGATATTGAATGGTTGTCATTCAAAGCGAGGTATCAGAATTAGATCTTTTTTGTAAATCCATACCAAAAATAATCTAACAGTTGCTAAAAGGGGAAAAAAAAATTCTTTTAACACACGAAAATTAAACTTTACATTTTTTTCCAAATGTGTCTTTATTTAATAAAAATTCTTGTGGTGAACAGCAACGGGGTTAATTTCAAAATTGCACTAAAAAATTCCAATTTTTTGTTTTTTTATTTTATACAGATTAAGAT